TTTTTTTTTGCAGGCGAAAATGAGACCAAGGACGAGAAATCAGTGGGACCATCACTACAGGAATCTCTTCTCTGCTAATGTGAAGAAGAAGAAGAAGACGAAGACGCCCAACGACTATGGCGGGGAGAAACATGGTCTGGTGATCCTTGGCAAAAAGAATATTGCTCACGCGGGCCCAAGTGTGAAGAGGGGCAGGGGAAGGCCTCGAAAGATTGAGAATGTGAATAGTATTAAATGTGATGATGATTCAATTGATTTGGAAGTGGATAGGATTACAGGGAAGAGGTGCAGAGGTGTGCCCCCCGCCCCGCCTTTGGACGACTCACTGGTTGACTTGACTGAAACAACAAGTGAAGAAGAAGATTTTTCCGATGAGGACTACAGTGAGTCGAGCACCGATTCTGATCCTGACGAGAGGGCCGGTGAAAATGCAAAGATAATCATAATAAAAAAAGGGAATGTGGAGAAGGTGAATATCGAGGAAGAGAGTGATGATCGGGGGAGCCCTAGTCCTATAAGGCCCTTCAATCTGAATACAAAATCGCAAAACTTTGTTCCCCACATAAATGACAATCAGGAATTCATTGATGTTAGGGGGAACATAAGAAAAGGGGGCAAGATAGAGTGTGGGGCCGAGCAAGAAAGAGATTTGGAGATTGTAGACGCCGATGGGGAAAAGTTTTCAGGAATCAACAAGAGTGCAAGACATAAACCTTTGGCTGGATTACCTAGAGATAATCGATCACATTTGAGTAGTTATGGTTGTGTACTCAAGGACAGGAGAGATGGAGGCAACAGTGTTTCGAGTCGTGCAAAACGTCACAAACTGGGCTCGGATGAGAGTTTCAAGAATAAACCTTTGGTAGATGCGGGTGGTGGTCACCTTGAAGACGCGGTGGAAAGGAACCCACGGTTCACGCTAAGCAAAAAGAAGAATTCCCGAGCAACAAACCAAGACTTGATCGAGATTTTAGTTGACTCCATAAATTCAAATTCGGCAAACGAATATGATCAGTGTTATGGCAAGAAGAATGAGTTCACTGTGCCAGGCCTTCCGCTCAGGTTCAGGTTTGAGGATGAGGTGGAGCCTCCACGTGATAAACCCGACTGGGAAAAGGAGATTGACTCGCTCTTCTGTGCTCTGGACATTGGTCTTCTAGAATCTGAGATTGACAGAGCTAGTTCATGCGTGGTACTTATTTTACATCTTCCATTATATTTATGCTTTTCAGCCTTGTGTATGATGATGATTGATAATTTTTAGGTGTTCAATATATATATTTTTTCATTTAAGTGCACAAATATTAGTCTTGAATTCTATATAATCGGATGGAGTGTATTATAGCAAGTTTAGTGTATTATAGCAAGTTCCCACTGGTGTACATCTTTCTTTCCGCTCTCTGAAGAGAACAATTGACAAAGGTGGGATTGCTTCTGAAATAAAATGGTTTTCTTTGTTAGTTTTCTTTTGTATTTGAGACTTTCTGGATTGAAGTTCAGAGATAGAATATTTGATATTTCATTTTTTTATTTAATCATTTCCCACTATGTTACTGTGATGAAAGGAGAAGTGTTAAGTTGGGCAAGTATTCTTTGAATCCATGTTACATATGTAATTTAATTTGATTTAGATGTAATTTTAGTGTGATATCCAGATAAAGAATGACGACAACTTGACTGAGATTGATGAAAGCCGAGCTGGTTGTTGCGCCCGAGGACAGCATGTCCCCATCCTTGACGAACAGATTGGAATTATCTGTAAATACTGTTTAATCGTAGTACTGGAGATAAAGCATGTTTTACCACCATTTGTAAGTATACTTGACTCCACCTGTTCAGTATTCAAAATTTATGTTAAATATCCCCATGTCTGTTTACTTTATTTGATGCCACCAATGATGCAACTGGTGATAAAATACTTGTAAAAATGTGAAGTGGAGTTTCTAAACCACTTTGACCTTCCTCCTATTTGCTTGATAAACTTGGTTTGAAATGCATTTTAGTATACGCGGCCCCCGGGAAGGCACAAGTGGAAGGACCCCGATGATCCAGCAAGGTATTGTGTGGATGAAATTCATTTACACAGGTCAGGCTTTAATAAACCCCCGCGAGGGTCGATTTCCCGCAACAGGGGCACCGTATGGGATCTAATCCCAGGCGTGGAGAATGAGATGTACCCCCACCAACGTGAAGGTTTTGAGTTCATGTGGAACAACATAGCCGGAGGCATAGTAATTGAGAAGATGAAACAGCCGCTCTCGGGTGGGAGGGGTTGCATAATCTCACACGCCCCTGGGACTGGCAAAACCCGGCTCGCCATAGTCTTTCTCCAGTCATTCCTTAAGCTGTACCCATCTTGCAAGCCCGTCATCATAGCTCCAAAGGGCATGCTCCTCACCTGGGAGTCGGAGTTCTTGAAATGGAAAGTGGACATACCCTTCCATAACCTCAACAGGAAGGATCTGTCGGAAAACGAGCAAGCTTTTGCCGCACATGTGCTTGTGCGGGCCGGAAAGGGAAGTGGGCCCATGAGCATCGACTGCATCCGCCTCACGAAACTTGCCTCGTGGGTGTCCGAGACGAGCATCTTAGGAATAAGCTACCATGTGTTCAAGAACCTGGCGAGGGGAAACGGAGGAGGGGTCGCGGGGCAAATCCAGAAAGTGCTGCTCGAGTACCCGGGCCTGCTGGTGCTGGACGAGGGTCACACCCCGCGTAACGATGACAGCCAGATATGGAAGGCCCTCTCGAAGGTTGCGACAGAGAGGCGCATCATCCTGTCGGGCACTCCTTTCCAGAACAACCTGGCCGAGCTGTACAACACACTCTGCATCGTGAACCCGAGATTTGCAAATGGAATTGATTCGCCGAATGCGAGGGTACGGGGCCGGAAGAGGCGGCTTGTCGAGAAAAAGAAATGGGTGGAGTTTGCGGGGGGGTCCATTGGGCTAAGGAAGCTGAGGGAGATGCTGGGCCCGTTTGTCCACGTCCACAAGGGGAGCATACTCGAGGAGAGCCTCCCGGGGCTGAGGGACACACTTGTGTTCCTGCGCCCGACCGAGGAGCAGAGGGTTCTTCTGGAAGATTCGGCACGGATAAAAAACATCTTCAACAAGATCCACCAGGTGTCCCTCGTATCTGTCCACCCTTCGGGGTCGGGCGTGAAGACAACATTCGTCATGAAACTCATACAGTTGGCAGACGCCCTGGGAGAGAGGGTCCTCATCTTCAGCCAATATCTCAAGCCACTCATGTTTATCAAGAAGCAGATCAAGTCTCGATTTTCGTGGCAAGAGGAGCGCGAGATACTGTACATGGATGGGCAGCTGGATGAGAAACACCGTCAGAACTCAATATCCTCTTTCAACGACGAGAGGAGCAAGGCCAAGGTGCTGCTGGCGTCCGAGCGCGCCTGTTCCGAAGGGATCAACCTCGTGGGGGCCTCCAGGGTGGTGCTGCTTGACACCGTTTGGAACCCCTCAGTCGAGAAGCAAGCCGTCAGCCGAGCCTACAGGCTCGGCCAGAAGAGGATAGTGCACGTGTACCGCCTCTTCACGTCAGGAACCGAGGTCACACAGTATGCACACCAGATCCACAAAGACCGTATCTCGCACTTGCTCTTTTCATCTACAGAGAGAGGTGAGAACTTGGGGTGTGAGCTTGGGCCATACGAGGATAGGATTCTCCAGGCTATGCTCCATCAGGAGGGGTTTGCTCATATTTTCGACAAGGTCATTTACCAGCCAAAGGAATCCGACCTCATCAACATTTTCGGGCCGGAGTTAGGCGTGTGCTCTGTATGAGCACTCTTGGTCTGGACATTGTGATGCTTTTTTCTTCTTCTTGATGATGTATTAGGACTGTTGTATTTTGGTTAGCACAACTGTTTTGTTCCTATCCGGTTGATGTTGCTTGGATAGTTCAGTTGTGTTTCTTGCTGCTGTTATTGCCAGGTTCAGTTGTCGGGTGACCGACTGTTTACTTCTGCCTGAAAATAACAATTTGGTTGTGCGTTTCTTTATTTATTTATCTTTGTGCGTTTCTTTATTTATTTATAAATGGCAGATTAAAAGAGTTTCAATACATCTACATGTTAAGAAGGCTTTTCTATGGTCAGGTACCCTTGTACTCTGTACCTACATAACAACAGGTACCTTTTAAATGAACGCCATGTGTCCTTTTTTTAATAAATTAAAAAAAATTGAAAAAAAGCTTAATGCAAATACGAAAATGTCCTTATTTTTTTTTTAAAAAAAACCTTATTTACTTAAAAGGTGTTGAACTTTTGTAAAATTAACATTTGACCTAAACATAATTATATATCTCAAATAAACAAACAATTAATCCAAAATTTCATTTCGAATGATCTTCTGCAAACAAAAAAACACTCATGAATATATGATCGAAAAAGGACGTTCTAAGATTTGACATTTGAAGAATAACACGAAGGTACATAATTTTATTTTCTGATTCGATATTTGAAGAGCAACATTATGTGAAATTTATTTTCAATTTCATGTTCTTCATTTAGATTACTGTCCAATCATGCGGTAATTTGCATCCATGATTTTGTTGTGCATCCGTGAGTTACAAGACATAGATACGATAAATGTTGTAATGTGAATTTGTATTTTCTAATATGGATAATTCATTGTTGTTTTTTCTCATAAAGAAGCACAATAGATGTTTGACGGAATGTCTGAAGGGACTGAAGACGGAAAACCGATGAGCACCAAAATACAACTTGCCAAAAATTACAACCGAACAAGTTGTTGTTATTGTTGTTGTAGTCATAAACAACGTTTATGACATCAGTTTGACATTTTAGAATACCATCATGAGCTTTAGTCATAAACAATCACAATTGCACAAACTATGGTTTAAAAGGCAACTTGATAGACATGTGCTATTGTAGAGGTTGGTTGTTGCTATACATTTACTTGGTTGTTTATAAACACACAATATTGATGGTGAACTAGTTGTGTCTTATTGATAAACAAATTTCCCTATCTGCTGTTTAATGTATCGCCATAGTGGAGTTCATGTAACAACTTAGCATCAAAATGGGTAAACGAAAACAAGTCATGATAAAGAATGAAAGATCCTTGTTCATTTTTAAATCTGAGATCCACTATTTCATTGATATGTTTTCTACGCAGCTGCTACATTGGGAAGATAACAACATATATACTATGCATGAGAGTATGTGTAGATACAGGTGGCAAGGATCCAACGTGCCTAAACAATGGAATAGATGATACCATAATATTAAGTGAAGTTTGTCTCACTAAAACAATAAATTGTTCATTCATTAACGACCGTAGTTGTTCCTCCATATTTAGCTGTTCATTAAAACTAAAAGCTTTAATAGAAAAAAATGTAACTGTTCAGACATCAACTTGAAAGAACATTATTTAGTTCTTATCTATATGTGATGGTTGGTGTTTATGTTTTTTCTTGTATGCAAATGCAGGTACAGGGGCGTGTCGCAGTATTATAATTGTTTCATCAAGCTCATTTGTGATTTTTCAGATCCTTCAATGGTATGTTTTATTATGCAAAATGAGTTTTTTTTTTATTGTTTGTTCTTTACTTCGCAATAGGTGTTGAGTGAAATTTCGGAAGATGAATACCGTGATATTGTACCTCTAAGGTGCACTCTGACTACCAAAGAAGGTTGTGTTTATGAAGTAGTTATGAAGTACTTGGATAAAAGACTCCAATTTGTGGATGGTTGCGGGAGGATTTCATTCACAAAGAAAGAGTTAGGAATGAATTTACTGTTCACTTTGAACGCATCATTGCATCAAGCTTTAACGTATCTATATGGACGAAGCTGGTGTGGAAAGAGCGCCGCAATATCGGTTTATGCTTCAGCTAAAGAAAACTCATATTGAACATGCTCTCCTGGTAACTGCATGTTTTAATTTGTCTAATTTCATCATGGAATTGTTGTGGTAAATTGTCCTTAACAAAATTAATAATGTTGCTTTTTGTACAGTTCATTCCAATGGCGTTATGGAATATGCACATCAAAGATGAAAGATGTTTAAAAAAGACAGCGTATCTTTTTACTGACCAGTGTTTTTACCGATGTAACTGAAAGGCATGGTAAAAAGTTGCAGCTAGGAGAAGATCAACTGGTGTTTAGGATTATTGTGTAGTTGTTGTGACCGGTATAAACTATTCTATTTTGACTTTGTTAGAATTATGTTGTAATTTTATTTGGTGTGTGTTCTGGATAGGGATATGTTTATTATATGCGGGTTGGGTTCACATGGTTCTCAATGAAAGAAATGAGAATAAACTGTAGCCATTAGATTGCATGATCCAACAGCTTATAAAAAAGCCAAAAAAATATCTTCATTAAGAGTACTATAGTAATTTACAGTGTTCTAAAAATCTTCCTAGGCGCCCGCCTAGGCGGCGCCTAGGCGCTAGGCGGCGTTCCGGCGCCGACGATTTGGTCGAGTCGGCCATAAAAATCGGTCAGGCGGGCTCGGCGCCGCCTAGGCGGGCCTAGGCGGTCTCGGCGGCTTGGCAAGTTCGGCGGGTCTAGGCGGCAGCAGGCGGGGCAAGGCAGGAAGATGGCGGGGCTCGGCGTTTGCATTTTAACAGGTTTTTCTATGTTTTTTTTTATTTTTGTAGTTAACTACAAAACTACTTCGTTTTATCTCAATTTAAAAAATAAAAATAAAAAATCAAATCAGGTGGGATACGACCTTTCAATCTTCATTACCTTGGCTTGGACCAAACAAAAGCACATAACAGAAGTTAACCCCGTTCAAAAATTCAACGCCGTAACCCTACTTCTCAAGCCGTCCTGACTCGTCGCCAGGCGTGACTCGCCGCCAGACGTGACTCGTCGCTGGATTTGACCCTCTCTCTAGTCAGTCACTCAATTATTTTACTACTCAAGCGCCCCTTTAAGCCAATCCGGTAGATCTGATCTTCTACGTGTGTAAAAAATAGGAATGGTGGGAAATCCAAGGAATAGACCCTTCTTTTGACGAAAAGTTTATATGAGATTTTTCAGCCTTATGTTTGTTCACTTTGTTAATTGTAATTTGTACCTTATATAATTAGGTTTTCTTAGTTTTAAGATTTAATGAAATTTATTGGACTGTTGTTGTGTGAAATATCTGAAATTTGGAATTGAAGGGTTAATATAATGTTATTATAGTGCGTAATGGCTTAAAACATTTGAATGTAGACAACGTGTTCGATGAAATTTCCAAGTGAATAACTTAGTAGAAATTTAACAATTAACATTCGAAAAAAGAATAGAAAATAGTATAAATTTATGTTCAATTTTCATTATAGTATTAACGTATTAATATTATTGTTTGGATTTAGGTGTGTGGACATTTATTAATTATTATAAGGTGAAGTTGTTTCATTATTTAGGTAGCAAAAATAGGTAAAAAAAAATAATTAAATAAGATATTTAATAATAATTTCTAGGCCCCACCTAGGCGCTCTAGGCGCTAGGCATTGGTCGAGCGCCTAGCGGGCGCCTATCGACTTTTAGAACACTTGTAATTTACCACAATACACTCAAACATGTGGGCTCCACTCAAACATGGTGGTATTTTAACCACCAGCCCCACCACACCCCACTCACGTACCCCTACACACTCTCACCTACACACACGCATGCACAACACACACACACACACACACATACGCACACACAAAATCACACACTGCCGGCCACGACTACCCGAGGTTTGCCGACCATACACACATTACTCTCTCTCTCACACACACACACTTCGCACTGGCACTATTCACACACACACACACACATGTTATATTTTGGTTAAAATAAAAATGTAAGATGAATTATATGTTACATGCAAAGGTGTAAGATAACTTATATGTTACATGCATGAGTGTAATTGAGTTACACAATGCATGAATGTAAAATAAGTTTCAAGACAATGCATGTAGGATAAGTTTTAAGATAATGGATGTGGATAAGTTTCACTTCACAAACTTGAAACTTGTGGTTTAATTAATCTTGAATTAATTAAACAAGTTGCAATTTAATGAGATTAATGTATCTCATTAAACAAGATGAGTTGTAAAAAATAAGTTCTTACATTTTGTAACCACAAGGCAATGAGTCCTATATATACTTTTCTTTTTTTGTGAAATCTTATTTAGAAAGTAGAAGGCTTGATCAATCCCAAAACTCCTTTCCATTGTATGTTCCCTAAAGATTTCAAAGAGAGGGAGGAAATAGAGTTTTTGGACAAAGTTCCAAAGAACTTGTTTGAGCCTTGTATTACATATTATTGTTCTTGAGAGAAATATTAAATAAAATAAAAAGTGAGTTTTGTTGAGTGTCTCTTTCTCCATTGTTATCTATTATTTCCATCAATCAAAAACTCTATTTTGCATGGAGACGGAGACGATCAAAATCATGAACCAAGACCTTGTGAAGTTGGATAGGTTTGATGGCTCAAATTTCACAAGGTGGCAAGACAAGGTGAAATTTCTTCTCACGGCCCTCAAGATATTTTATATCCTCGACCCTACCTTGGCTCCTCTACCAAAGCCAAATGAAAACGATACGCTCGAAACTGTGGCTGTATGGAAGAAAAGAGAGGAAGACGGGTTAATATGTCGGGGTCATATTTTGAATGCCTTGTCTGATAGGCTATATGATCTCTACACCAATAATTCGGCTAGAAAAATTTGGGAAGCTTTAGAAATTAAATATAAAACCGAAGAAGAAGGTACTAAAAAATTTCTAATCTCTCAATATTTTGATTTCAAATTTTTTGATGAAAAGTCT